TCATCATATAATCAGTTATATGGTGCGCCCCCTATAGCCTAAATAATGACCAGATACATTTGAGTAGTTGCATTCAAACTTGAATCAAATCACTCAAATATTCTCCCAACAGATCGTATCTTCTGGAGCTGATTCTGATGACTAACCAACAGCCAAATCAGCACCCCAAATCTTCTTAGATTATGTCGAAAAGATTTCCTCTTGATATGTTCCAACAAGATCTCATCTTATCCTTTTGTTATGAAACAACTTTTCATAGCCAATTCAAACTCGAATTTCAAACATTTGAATTCAAACTTTCAAACACTTAAATTTTAAATTCAAATTCAAAATTCAAAATTCAAATTCAAATTCAAATTTCAAAATTCAAAATTCAAATTTCAAATTTCAAAATTAAAATTTCAAATTTCAAATTCAAAATTCAAAATTTAAACATTTGATAATTAATTTAACTAATTAAATTAATTAGTAATGTCTTGGACTATCCAAGCCCATTACTTAGATCCATGCGCCCTCCACCCTATCTGTGGAGGTCCAAACTACTTCTTGGGCTAATAACAATTGTTAGGCCCAATACCATTAATGCTAGAACATCTAGACAATTAGGTGTTAGTGTGTGACCCATTAGGTCCAACATAGCCACTGACATAAATGGGCTTGGGCCCAACAAGCCCACAACTCATTTAATGACAACACAGAGCACTAGCAATGCTTTGTTGCCCCAGAACTAGTTAGATTAGTGACTTGATCATCCTATTACACATATTTGGTTGTCGTATATATTTCTTTTCGTCTCGGTTACCTTCCCATAAAACCTAGGGTAAGGAAGCGTATCGACCCCTGCGGTTTAGGGTAAGCGTTATTCGAAATAGGGAATCTTCAATTTACAGACTCTAAAGGCAGATCATCTCGTGATCTCTTTTACTATGCATAGATTCCCGAGTCCCTGTAAATGTCATCCCGATTTCTCCGGTTTACAGATAACCTAATCTCTCACAGAGATTTGACGAATTCCTTCAGCTTATCACCCTAGCCCTGTGTTCTTTCAGGACAAGCCCAACAGTATACCTATGAGTCTCCATGTTTCAGGCAGACGAGGTGCACAATCAAAGCATGGCTTCTAGAACACAGTCTAGGTAATAACTTCTGGTCTTAGGAAAGACATACCCAAATATAAAGAGACTACTCTAATGATACTCTCTGTGAGAGTTCCTCATAGAGTCTCTTTGTGAGTCTGTTCAGTGCGAGCTATACCCTTATAGGTCCACCCACGACTTTAGCTAAGACATCTCCATATCTGTAGCACATGAGGTCTATACCTTGTATCCATATACAAGTGGATAAGTGGTGCTAGTCTTACCCGAGATTACTGAATCCTCATGATTGTGATCTCATCACAGATACTCAAGAGATACCTATTTTATTCCACGGGGTTTATCAAGTTATTCATAATATATTAACATTAATATCGAGACAGAATTATGAAACAAGATAAAGAGTATTTTTATTTATTTGCGACAATATTAAAAAGGTTATGTCCTTATTTAATCATAAGATTGTCTCTAGGACACCCAAATACTAACATGGACCTGTCTTACTGGGCCGCCTATGTATGAGCTGTTAGTATATGGATGTCCTAGAGACAATCTTTTGATTAGATTAGGACATGTATGGACCTTTTATTTTGTCACAAATAAATATAAGCACTCTTTATCCTGTTTCATATTTTGTTTCGATATTATTAATATTATATGAGTAACTGGATAAATCCCTTGGAATAGAATAGGTATCTCTTGAGTATCTGTGATGAGATCACGATCATGAGAATTCAAGGATACCAGATGTTTATTCCTAGTTTTATGTTCCTAGTCTAGAGACACTGAGAATGGGGATCAGTAATCTCGGGTAAGACTAGCACAGCTTATCTACTTGTATTTGGATACAAGGTAAAGACCTCATGAGCTACAGATATGGAGATATTTTAGCTAAAGTCGTGGGTGGACCTATAAGGGTATAGCTCGCACTGAACAAACCCACATAGAGACTCTATGAGGAAATCTCACAAATAGTATCATTAGAGCAGTCTCTTAATATTTGGGTATGTCTTTCCTTAGACAAGAAGTTTTCACCTAGACTGTGTTCTGGAAGGCATGCTTTAATTGTATACCTCGTCTGCCTGAAACATGGAGACTCATAGGTATACTTTTGGGCATGTCCTGAAAGAGCACAGGCTTAGGGTGATAAGCTGAAGGAATTCGTCAAATCTCTGTGAGGGATTAGGTTATCTGTAAACCGGAGAAATCAGGATGACATTTACAGGACTCGGGAATCTATGCATAGTAAAAGAGATCATAAGATGATCTGCCTTTAGAGTCAGTAAATTGAAGATTCCCTATTTCGAATTAAAGCTTACCCTAAACCCGCAAGGGTTGATACGTATCCTTACCCTAGGTTTAAAGGGGAGGTAACCGAGATGAAAGGAATTACATACGGTAACCAAATATATGTAATAGGATGATCATGTCATTAACCTAATTAGTTCTGGGGCAACAAAGCATTGCTAGTGCTCTGTGTTGTCATTAAATGAGTTGTGGGCTTGTTGGGCCCAAGCCCATTTATGTCAGTGGCTATGTTGGGCCTAATGGGTCACACACTAACACCTTATTGTCTTGATGAATATAGCATTAAAGGTATTGGGCCTAATAAAGGTTGTTAGCCCAAGAAGAAGTTTGGAAGCCCACCTAAGAGAAAAAGGGCGCATGGTACATGTAATGGGCTTAGATGGTCCAAGACATTATTAATTAATTTAATTAGTTAAATTAATTATCAAATATTTAAATTTTGAATTTGAATTTTGAATTTAAATGTTTGAACGTTTGAATTTAAATGTTTGAATTCGAATTTGAATTGGCTATGAAAAGTTGTTTCATAACAAAAGGATAAGATAAGATCTTGTTGGAACAAATCTCAAGTATCAAGAGGAGATCTTTGGGCATCATCCAAGGCTGATTTTGGGGTCTTATGATGGTCATATGATCAACCAAATAAGCTCCAATCAGATTTGGTTGGTTGAGACTTGAGAGAATAAGTGAGTGAGTTGGTTCAAATTTGAATGCAACTACTCAATGTATTTGGACTCTTTTTGGGCTGAATAAGGGCGCACCATATGGCTGGCCATATGATGGTTATTAAGTCAGATTTTTAACTAGGTATAGACTTAGTCTCATGAGGATATGATATGAGGTTGTTTGCTAGATTTGAATTGCAACAACTCCACTTATTCCTCCACCATTGGGCGCTACATAGGTCAGATTTTTGGGAGAAAAATCTGATTCAATTCAATCATTCTCTCATCTCCAAGTGTGCTTCCTTTTGTGAGGTTCTCTTTAGGGTTTTTCGAAAATTACTTAGCCTTTTCTCATAGAATCCATGCGCCACTGTGAGTTTTTCATGCTGAAAAATTCACTCATCTAAATACATTAACCTTGCCTCCTTCTTCTCCTATTGGGACGCCTAAAGTGCCTTCCTTGTGGTGTTCGTTTGGTGGCTTTTCAAGAAGGGTTCTTGCATCTTGACGTAGGGTGGTGTGGATCAACGCTAGAGGGTTTGAACCTTCAAACCTAACACTGATCATCTTGGAGTTTTGAATCATGAACAAGGTACATCATATTGTCTTAAAGCATGTATCTTGATTGGTATGTGTGATTCCGCTTTGAAAAATTTCTGTTTTCATCCTCACATATCATTGGCCTTCAAGGCCATTCGAACCATCCAGAACAGATTCATATTTGTTATAATTTGGGATTAAAGCATTAAAAAAAAAAAGGTAAGTATAGCAATTGCCATGTCCTAGAAGTACTACTCCTAAAGATTGCCACAACATGGCACCTTTTAATAATTTAGAGAAAAAAATTCTTTTACAGTGGGTTCATCTAAAAGAAGAAATCAATTCTTAAATTTTAATGGGTTCAAATCATGACGTATATTTTATAGTGATTATATACATCCTTGCTTTCCGATAATTAAATTTTGTTTATAGGTGCTTTGACCCTCCTATTGTTGGAAACTCTTAACAGGTCTGATTAATTAGGTTTAAGTCTTCTCATCCTCTTTAGGAGTTGTGATTCCTAGAAATCAAACTTACTACTCTTTGAGGAGGTCAAATCTTAAAACCTAGCTGGAACGCCATAAAAACAACAGCTCTTGAATCTCTTCTTTAGTTTTTTAAGTTTAAGAAGAAAGATATTATTTCATTTTATAGTTAGACAATGCCATTAGCCTCAATGGAAATTTACAATGATACATAGATGATATACCAAAGAAGTTTCAACAAAAATAAAGCTATACACCTTTGAGTTGACATTATTCGATATTATAAAAATAAAGCTCATTCTTATCCCTGGTATAGTTGTTAGCTTATAAATATGGCAAACCCTTTTGGTAATGATACTTACAAATATTGTCTTTAGAAATTCTTACACATTTTCATCCAAGTTATTGAATAACAACTTGATTTCACTATAACCTTTTCTGGAATGTGCATGGTGCAAAGGAGTACGTACACTTTTGAACCTGAGAGATTTGTGGATATAAATATACGTACTAAGTATCATTTTTATTTTTTAAAAATATCATCAGATATTATAACGTGCAAGTTAGCAACCTAGTAACATGGCCTACACAAAAACAACCTTATAACTAGCAATTATTCCTAGTCACATACCACAATAACTGTCTATCCCTGCCACCATTCCCAAGCCTATAAATACAAAACCCTGACTCATTGTAAAAGTATGTTCATTCTCTCTTCCACTCCTCTTCCAAGTATTTCTCTTACGCATCATACCCAAGATATATGCTTATATTTGTGTAACATTAATATCTAACATAAAATCATAAACTAGTACTTTGCATCTTACCATCCTGACTGATGTTAAAAAACAAAAGATAAAGAATAATCTCCAAAAAATTTGTGAGTCACAAAGTTCAATGAATTCAGATTTATGGGAAAAACGTTAAAACATATCATATAGCCCAACTATTTTTGTGTCAAAAACCAAAGCCCTTCCGCAACAATTACAATGGACAATATTATTAGTAATAGACAACATACATGCTTCTTGTCACCAATTCTGTTTCTAGACTATGTGGGTGACTCAATCAAAACACTGATTTCAATGATACAAAGACTAAAGTACAACACAAGAAAACTTGTTAAGAGTAAAACCTATGATGACCAAACCAAGTATTGCTGGTAATGGATCCATGAAAATTGAATTGACAGACTATTTACCACACCCGTCAATCTCTTGGGCGGGCCAGCCAGAGTGAACTGAGAGCGCGCAGCCTCGAAAAGTAGTCATGGATAGCAAGGAGTGCGCGAGCTGATTGGCGAGTTGTCAGTATACGGTGCATTTGTTGTAGAGTCTGCTGGCGCAGATTGTCAGCCTTATAATCACAAATACCACCCATAGTAAGATATTTTAATAGTGCTATTTATTGTAAATAATATGACATGAAATGCAGTTTACAAGAGAATTTCTTGGTTGTTAGGGAATGGGGGCATTTTTCTTTGGTTGGAGCAAGATGATTATTATTATCAATTGTACATAATGTTAGGAAACCAGGGCTAGACTAAAAGACTCTTCAATATTCACCAAAAACCACACCAATGTAGCAAACTATTTGCATACAAGTGCAAGCAAGAAAAATTTACCTGTCGAATAAACCCCTCGAGTGTCCCTAGCTTCCCCATGGCCATGGCCATTTGACCCATGTAATTTGCCACATTCCCTGATGGACCAGATGAGCCAGGTGTTCCAGTGGACAATGTCTCTGCAAGGGACTGTTGCAATGCTTCCATGCCCTGAGACAATGCATCTTCTGCTTGTTGGGAGGATTGCTGCAAGTTTGTAATACCCACCAGCTGCTGCTCTGTGAGAGGTTCCAACTGACCTACCAGGAGCTGCAACCAAATTCGTGGCACTCAAGTCAAATGTAATGAAGTTATAAAATGATTCGTGTATAAGCGTTATCATGTGAAAACTTAAGACCTCTCTGTGGCTCAGGGCATTTAAATATAACACATGTTAATTATTATTCTTTTTTTCGACGCCTAACTTCCAACACCCAAGAAGATTCTTATTCTTAATGCAATATTTATATATCTTCAACATAAGTCAGAGATTTAGGGTTTTATTGATTTTGAAGCACTAAAACAAATTACCGAAGTATTAGCACAAAGCAGGATTTACCCATTTCTAAAACATGCAGTACACAAGTGTTACAGTAAAAAAAAAAATTTGTTGAAATTGTAGTTTTATCTTAAAAATAATATAGATATACTGACACCTGCAAAGAATTATTGCAAAATTGGTTGTAAACTATCATGAACTAATTTGACCAAAAGCTTAAAGCTATTATGTGCATACACATGAATGATTTAATATTACATCTCCAAGATGCCCCTTCAAATAAAAACCCTCTTTGAGTTTGAAGCTTGGACAATTCACAAGTCCACATGCCTTGCTCAAATTCAACATTTTATTAAAATAATGGAGGCAATAGGGATCAAACTCTAGACCATGTAAGGTACCAAGGTATTGCAACTATATTACACAAGAATTTGGAAAGAAAGAGTTGTATTGCAACTACATTGTGCTCGGAGATCAGTGAGATATCTGGTGTTGATTTGGAAAATTACAGACCAATGAAGGAAACGATAACCTCGAGTTTTCAAGAGGCTCAAGTCTCTCCTAATATTTCTCTCTTACAATCTCTCAGTAACCATCACATGCCCCCTCCCCCTCTCTTTAACTCCACTCTCCCTCAATGCTGTTGTAAGCTCTTCCCTCCAATTTCTCACACAGCCTGAGCCCAATTAAGGGTGTAATCCCCTGTTACACCTCCTACGGTAAACGTGAGTTATTGGAGACTTCCTATCAACCACTTGGTCATAATGGCTCTAATATAATATCATGAACCAATTGTCTCAAAAGTTTAAGCCATTAAGTTAAGACACATAAATTATTTTATATTACATCTCTAATATAAATTTTATAGAATTATTCAGAATAAGAAAAAATTATAGATGAAGAGAACAAGCAGACATCCAGTAATGAAAGTTTAAACTAGTTATTATGCCAGATTCTAGGCAACAAATAAAGCAGCTGCCTACCCCCTGTATTTTCTACCACCTAACCCTTATCATTGTGTGCAGGTCACAAGTAAGTAAATCTAACTCCATGCTTGTTCCAAGCAAAAGTTAAAACCACATGGACCACCAGTGGCATCGAAAGCAGCATTCCCACATCCCACTAGTAAGTCATACGCGATCAAGTCCGATGTAATACTCCAACATCATTCATCTAGATTCCTGATCAACCAGCAAAATGAGGCAGCAACTACAAATATAGATGCAACAAGCCAACTAGCATGTGTACAGAATTACTTCTTTTCAAAAAAATTCTGCATGACTTATATATTCCCCAAAACCTAAAAATAGTCTTTTACACTTTATGTTACCATGAAATCGTATTACTAGGGAATGCCTATTTAGAAAGAAAAGGCTCAGCATTGGCTCACCTTGAGGATTTCAGACGACCGAAAACCACCAAGCCACATGAAACACCTCTCAGCAGGTGTTTTCCACATACCAGACAACAAATGGAAAACATCAGCCTTAGCTGCAACACCTTTCAGCCTAAAAACCTCTTCATAATGTGCCACTATACCATCAACAATCATGCGAAGTTCGGTATCACTTGCATGAGAATTTACAGCCGCTCTCAGCTCATTAATTTGTCGATTCTGCTCTTCCAGCCACCTTGCATATTCTGCATCAAATTGCATCGCCCCTGTAAACAACGAAATAATGATTATGGATAAGCTAACGTAAGTGGAGAAATTAAATGTTTACTGAAATAACTTATTAGAACATAACAGACACAAATTATACTACTATGTTTCAGACATTATTCTATATTCAAACTGTAGGAATGAGTATCATTTAGAAAAAAGATACCATTTCCACTCATTGTATGTGCTTGATCACCCGAGCTTGATATGAAGATTCCCTACAGGAAGAAACAATGGATTTTGGTTTAAAATTGAACATGACTGCCAAGGAAATGTGTCATACCAAAAAAAAAAAAGACGAGAGAGAGAGAGATAGCATACTATTGATGCAATCGAAATACAAGGGTTATTAACTAAATCTCACCTGCTGCCTAGCTCGCTGAAGCTCTTGCTCTAGTTGGGTCAGCTTTAAACGACTACTTTCCAACTGTTGGACATAGGCCTATGTAAAAGGGCCACAGATGTATGAAGAAATGAGCTTACAGTATCATGTCTTGCATTTAAATGGCCAAGTGAGGAAATTAAACATAATTATTTCTTACAACTATTATAGAGGCCAAAGAAGTTATAAGGGAATCATTGGATTCCACTATATAGCAAATATCTATGATATAGAAAAGAAGAGTAAAACAGTTTACCAGAAGCACAGTACCGAAGAAGAGAGTAGCTCAACAATTTCCAATTCTTTTACCTATGAAACACCAAGGGGGTGTTTGGTAGAGGAAAAAAAAAAAATTACCAGAGAAATACAATATATGGTGGGAAAGTGAGTTTGATAGAAAAGTTAAAAAAATGTTGTTTGGTAAGCCGAAATATTACCGGATAAATTGGGTTAAATTTCCTTAATCTATGTTTAGTTAAAGGTAAAATATTGATGGAAAAATAGGTTAAATTTCTTCACTTAGCCGGTAATCCCAAAATACCACATTGGATAAAAATTTTCAAACTTGTACCAAATATGGTATTATTAGATACCCACCCACACTTCCCCAGCAATCCCAAAAGAAAACTCTTACCAAACACCCCCCCAAGTGACAACCTCCTTCTTTTCTGTCTTCTCAAATTATCTGCTACCAATTTAACTGAAGGAAGATTGAAGTAAAGAGTAGCTATCTATCAAACAAAGATAGTTACAATATACAAAATCATAGAGGGAAACCTGACTTTGGTTTTCTCTACAGAATTCCTTTCTGATCAATAATGCCCGTTTTCAACTGACAGAAAGGAAGGAACACAAATTTCCTTTACTCTATAAGATACTGTTTATAGCACAATTGTTTTGAGAAACTGGTTAAGGCACATTTAACCATACTGTCACGGGCCAGATAAAAATGTGGGAACAAAAAACGGGACTAATATGCCTTAACCTGTTTCTCAGAACAACTTTCTTGAAATCCTCAAGAATCATGGTATGTAGAGAACATTAATCCACAAATCCAGATAGGTCAGAAGGAAATAGCAAATTGGATGTTCATAGTGTAGGAGAAAGTTAGATAATTACATCCAATCGTATGGATAGAAATATCTAATTTTTAATGAGTAATTTTATTAACAATTCAAATCCTAACAACGAAGGCAGGAAAGAATTTATGATATTCTTCGTATTATTCTTCAATTGTTATTAAGTACTCAGGAACAAGCACCTAGTTGATATAAGTTGCTGAAATCAGAAATTTGCAGGAATGTTTCTGCTAACTACTATTTTTTTGGCTTCTGAAATCAATCATACATGTTAGTCATAAAAGATTTGCAGCTTTAGAAAATAAAGAGTCATTACTTTATATCTGCAAGATTACCTAGTTCTCTCAGAACTTTCCTAGAATGGTCAGGTTTGTACAAGATAAAAATTTAAAACTATATGATAAAGATGACATTAGGTGTCACCTACTTTGATCATTGATTCTTTTTAGTGTTTAAGTGTCAACTTCAGCACCCACTAGGTAAAGAATATCATCAGAAAGATTTTAAAACATTGAAAATAAAAAGGAACAAAAAAGGAACCATAATGTAAGGATTAGAATGTCAAAATGTATAATAGCATTTATATCAGTACAAGAAACCAAGAAATGGTCTGAAAATTCTCGTTAAACATTTTACCCAGACATAAAGAGATTATCGATCCTCAGAATGAGAATAATGGACGTTCTTTAGCTTCCCGAAAGAAAAGTAAACAAACAAAACAGGAAATTGGCATTTTTCACATACTGGTAAGCTCCTAAAACTTACAGCCAGGACCAGTTGATATTGTTAGACTTGAGGTGCGAAGCCTTGCTGTAATCTTGAGTATTTTTAATAGAATCAGAACTTTCCAAGAAAGTGTGAGAAAATGAGAGAAAATAAGAGAGAAAGTGCAGAGAGAGAGAGAAAAACAAAATTCCGCTGAATTATTCAGAGTGTAAATTGAATTGATTATTTGATTTACACTGAAGTATATATATTTATAGTTGGATAGCTGTTAACTGCATCTGATAGTTAACTGCATCTGTTAGCTGTTATAACCATCCAAAACTGTTGTAACAGACTAACAGCCAACAGTCTAACAAACTAACAGAACAGCTTAGTGCTGAGTTATCAACACAACTTTACAGAACGAACTACTCTTACTACTCTAATAATTTTCATATTCCTTGTTATATCTAGAATTGTCTTATTCTACCCTTTCTATACAAAAAATTATTTGCAATAGTTGAATCGAGGTCCAATGCATTGTCAAGAAGGCCCACGTAATATGCGGGCCTAAACTAATCATCCAAACTAGCCAACTAAAAACCAAATCCATTTGAGTTATTGTAACATGATGACAATATTTATATGGGGAAACAAGAAAATATACACATTTATAAAAATAAATATTAACTGGAAAAAATTAGTAAATATGATTCCTACTTTCTTTCTCAATCGGCTTTTTCTCGCAGCCTCACGATTCTGAGCAAGCCTCCGAAGACTCTACAATAATATTAAAAAAAGGAATAAGTTCACTACGTAATAAATACCATTTGGAATTTCAGATATTATCCATGCAATAAAATTTATAATATATTTAACCTTCTGATCTGATTTGTCCTTTGATCTGTCACTGGAGTCAGAAGCCACAGCGGCAAGGGATTGACTTCTATCAAACTGCAAATATAGCATGCACCAAATGTTAGATTGTCAAGAATATCTACTATCAAAGCTTATGTCTCTGATTTAAGGATCAGACCCAGAAAGGCTTCTGCTCATGCAATATGTTTGAACCCGATGTAGATTAAAATCAATCATGCAGTTGGAAACTTGCTGACAAGTTCACTTGAACTGGTTGCCAAATGTGCAAATGTAGGATAGGGACTTGAGATATTATCAATTGAAAAAAAAAAATCTCCCCATTAAACCCCAACTAGCGAGGGTGGGGTGAGGGAAAATCTTGTTCGCAACCTTATCCTTGCATAATTGCAAAAAGGCTGTTTTATGGATTCAAACCCGTGAGCTTTGAACAAGGGAGAAAATAACATAAAAGGTAAAGAGAAATCACCCGCTGATTCTTGTCATCAGTGTCACCATCTGTAGAAATATCGGTCCGAGGACTGACATCAGCCATGGCAGACTCTTCCTGGTTTTCTGTATTACCACCTAATATGGTGCCAGGATTTGATGACTGAACCTTTTGTAATTGCAACCTATGCAGCTCTGTTTGGTTCGTCAATGGGCTTTTATCAAGTGAAGTTGGCAACTAAATCAAAGAGAAAAGAAAGAAAAAATGGAAATAAGATATATTCTAGCCAGCTAAAAAATTATCTTATTAACCAAAACAGGAAGTTCATTACATGAAAAGAACTAGAAAAACTCACCTTACCAAGAGTACTAATTTGAACAGGATCCAGAGAAATTGTTTGGCTACTTACTTTTAGTGAGTTAAAAACTGAGTCTGAATCAATTATCAGGGAAAATCATTAGTGAAGGAAAGAATGGAAAAAAGTGTACGTTTGTTAATAAGAATTATAAAACAAATAATCAGTTTTTAGACATTGACATCTAGATGTTTAGCCAAAAGTAACTTAAATTTTTGCATGTGTGCTTGGGAGTGAGATTATTCCTTTTTCTTGATGTTAGCTTTGCCAAGTAGCTAATAAGTAGTTATGTACTCGCATATTGCAAAGCGCGACCATTGCATAGTTCCAGATTTTTTTTATTTTGAATGAACACTAATTAAACATCGTTTAGACAAACAAAAAAAGGTCAGGTCCGATAAAGATGATTTGATGCTTCATGACCTGAGATAATACAACAAACTGGCCGTATTTGCTTGTTACATGTAAACTCTGCTATGATAGGGTACAGGAATACTTACTTCCACTCACATCGACAGCATCCTCTAAGCGATATGATTGATCAAATGCTCCAAAGTCAGAAACATGAAAAGAATCAATTGTGCTCCCCTGTGTATAGCTGAAAAACATACTTTGTCAGAACTAGACTAACACAATTCAGTTCATGTGTTCATTTTATAAAAAAAAACACATAAAAACAGAAGTTATCTATAAGTTGATGGATGCAAAGTTAAAAAGTAGAACATAGCATCAGGTATACCAATCCAAGTTTATGATTTTCTTTTCACACTACATATTATATTCTTCAACATCAACATCGCCTTTATCCTAAACTCGGGATAAAGGTGACTGAAGCATTTTTTCTCATAGTGGAAAGGGAAACAAAAGTGAGCAAGGAGAAAACTGGCATTCAAATAAGTCAAATCACGATCGAAGCAAAGTGAAAGTATTCTCTACAATCATAATGATATAATTTGTTTAAGACTTAAAGAATATCAAATCCGTTATATGGACTTAAACACATTAAAGAAATTCATTATTTGCAACCCCCCAAATTGTTATCTTTAACACTGATAAGAACCAAAAAATTTATTAAAAATAAAATAAGGATAAACTCCAAGTAAAATGGATCAGAGTCACTCAAAACAAAATAAAAGGACTAAATATTGCAGAACTTTGAGGGTACGCAACCTCCCTACCCAGGGCTTTCGAGAGTCTTCCAATCTCTCCCCATTTTCAATTTCTAATCCCTCAATAGTCTGCCATAACCTCCTCCTCCTCCCTTATTCATCACAGATTAACAATAAATACATAATCAATCACCCTTAATTACGAAATCAATCATCAATAATTACACAGTCAACCACCCATAAATCAACTCATAACAACATAATCAATCACCCATAAATACAGAATCACCTATGATTGGTACCTATACAATAAAAGGGAAAAACATTTCTGCAGTTACTACAGATAACTTATCTGCATTTTTTTCAAAACGACGTCGTTTTGAGATTGAAATCTTAAAAAATTATAAATATAAAGACTATTATAACCCTGAAATAAATTAAAATTACAAAAATACCATGATTTCCGCCCCAAAACGACGTCGTATTGGGCTTACTGCAGATAACTTATCTACAATAACTGCAGAAAAAATGAACCCATAATAAAATGCCTTCATTTATTGTGCACATTCAACATGGTAAGGTTGGTGTATTCCTATCTATACTCCCCCCAAAACTTTCACCGTGTCTTCAAGGAAAAGGCCAGCCTGCAAAAATCTCTTCCCCGGTACAATTGCTTGAAATGTAGGAATTCACTTATGTAAGAAACATAAGAAATTCCACCAGGATCCCATCCAGCCTAACTTTGACTAGCCGAAACCAGGTGTCTTAGATCTGAGTTAGCCCTGTTGAATCATGGGCTCACAAGCCCAAATGTCACAATTAACAGATGGAAAGGGACCCATGTCCGTAAGTAGGTCTGGGAATGTCATGAGAGTGCTTTAGGCCTGATCCATTTTGCTATTGAATTGGCCCAATTTTTCTAAGCCCCTCCATGACCTAGTACCATCCTATCTCTTCAGATGAGCTGCCACAAAAATCCCTCCTCCTTATGAGAGTTCAAGTCTGGTGGATCAGGTAATAGTGATGGGTTGTCAACCTTTTCAATAGAGTTGGTGTTGCTAGTACGAGCACATTGCTCATCTCAGTCTGGAATGGCATCCTTCCTAATATCGTTTAAGGCTGCATTGAGTAAACTTCTCCATCCAACAATACAAGTCGAGTTGCCTAAATGAAGACAGTGGTTGTGCATCCTCCCTCCGTTGGATTCTATTTCAACTCCCAATAGCATTCTATCTCTTCACCCTCTTTCTTCTCTACTTCAATTTCTCTCTCTTTCGACCCCTCTTTTTCTAGTGGTGGAATCTCTCCTTTCACCTCTCTCTTTTTTGGAATAGGATTTCCCTTTCCATTTTTGGAGTTTAAAATTCTGATTCTGCCCCTTTACAGCTTCAGAAACCTTCTAGTATTCCTGTGTTCCTTCCTTGACAAAATACTACTCCATTTGTATCAACAATCAGTAAGTTTCATCTCTCCCAGATCGAGTTCTGATACCAATTGATAAGAATCAAAAACTTTATTAATAATAAAATGAGGATAAACCCCAAATTACACTGGATCGAGTCACTCAAAACAAAATAAAAGGATTAAACATTGCAGAACTTCGAGGGTTTGAAACCTCCCTGCCTAGAGCTTTCGAGAAGCACTCAGTCTCTCCCAATTTCTAATAACTCAATAGTATGCTGTCACCTCTTCTCCCCTATTTATCACATATAACTCATAAATACATGATCAATCACCCTTAATACAAAATCAATCACCAATAATTACATAGTCAATTACCCATAAATCAACCCATAACTACAAAATCAATCACCTATAATTACATGATCAATCACTCATGAATACAGAATCACCTATGATTAATAAACATAAATACAAAATCACCCATGATTGATACACATAATTAATACCGAATCCACCGACAATAAAATCCTTTCATTTATTATGCACACTTAGCATGGTGAAGGTTGATGTATTCCTATCACACTACCACACAACAAAGAAAGCAGGACCAACAATCATCAGACAATACTACATCATAACGAAATAGCCCATCAATCAAAATTGAAGCCAAAACGACTTTTGGACTCCTTAAATCGACAGATATACCTAAAATTTGTCTATTAACTCTCTTTTAACCATAAAAGGATCTTGATGTCTAGGATGACTCAACAAAGCTAGAGTACAACTTCGAAATTTCTCCCCTGCAATGCTAGACTAGCATTGGAAATAGACAAACACCAACACGAAAGGCTAGATCTCATGAAAGAAAAGTGTGGGCATGTTGGAATCACGGTCTCCCATCTGGAGGAAAAAAGAATCTGAGAAAGCCAAAAAAAAAAAAGGGCCCACAACCACAACAAACCCCATCTACATGGGTCTTGCTTGAAATGCCAAAAGAGCTCCAGAAAAGGTCGCCATAATTGAAATACGGGGTTTTTCCATTGTGGGCCCATTGTCTATATCTATGCTTTTCCCATTGTGGGCCCATTGGTTTAGGCCTTTTAACACACTTCACAGGCATTCCACGTTTTCTGGGGTTTTCCAGCTTCTTTCCACTACCCCCAGTCAACATCTGGGAAGATTCCATGAGGCTAGAGTTCAACTTCAAAATTTCTCTCCCTCGATGCTATGTTGGCATTGGAAAAAAGACAAACGTCGACGCGATGGGCCAAACCTGACAAGAGAAGTGTGTGGGCATGTTGGACCAAAGAAGAGAAGGATCAAACAAACATGAGAAGACTGGGTTGGCCATGGGTCACATTGAAATGCAAAAACTGAGGTGAAACTTGCAATTGACAGTGCAAAATTGGAGAGTGATCACAATAAACTAACTTTGAAGGGGTGAAATGACCGATAATGGACACATCGAAGGAAGAGGAGGAAGGCAAGTTTGTTCAATGGCGAAGCGACAAAAATGAAGCCCACATGCACCACCTCACACGACTGGAGTGACACAATGCAGAATGGACACCACAAGCATAAGGGCGTGTCAGTAGGCTTCTAGACCTAGGTCTTGGACAGATGGGCGCGTCTTGTCGGCGTCCAACCTAACGATCATTAGCCGTAAATCTCGCCGGAAAATTTTTCGAGTCGTCAGAAAAGCCCATTTGCAGCGCAAAAATTTCCAATCGCGAGCGCATGGTTTGCCGGATGACAATGGATCCACCAAGGATCAACGAAATTGAGGAGACACTACAAATTTGGTAGTTACTAGTCGGAATAGTCGCCGACATTTTTTCTGGTGCGGCGAACATCAATGGAGGGTCACCAAAGAAGTGACAAATGTCTAAGGCATGGTTATCTGAGATGCAACAAAAGAAACTGGTGAGAGAAGGTTGACTAAGCAAGAAATTAACATACAGTTTCAAATTTTTGGGAACTTGACAACGAAGGAGCGACAAGACAGGTCATGGAGGATGATAACGCTTTGATACCATGTCACACAACCAATTCAACCTAAAAGCTTAAGCTGTTAGGTGAAATCAGATAAATGATTTTATATTTTATATAATACTTCTCACAAGCCCCCCTCATACAAGAGTTCATTGGACTTGAAGGATGGACAATGCACAGACGCACTTACCCATGCTAAGAAATTCCAAAATATTTATTAGAAGATTATTACAAGAATAAGGGGCAATAAGGATCAAACCCTAGACCATGTGATCACAATTGCTCTAACACCATGTTGAATAATGTGGAAACGAGAGGCAAGTTTTTTAAATCCGTGTGTATCAATTGCACAACGAAGGCTCTAATATAAAAAGTGACTATAACAATTACATAAGACTAATAAAACGATGTGAGACTTCATATCAACCTATTTTCAATACTTCTAACAGCCAAATTACTATCAACAACTCTAGTCCCCAGTACCACACAAAACTGTTGTTACAATCATAGAACTAGCTCAGATGCATTTACAAAGAAAAGCTGCATAAGTTCAACTAATTTTGGTCACTCTCCAAGACTCCAACCCAATTATATTATATTTTGACCCACCCACTCCTCAACACAACATTCTCTCATTATGTGAAATAGCTTAGATACTCATTTTATTTGTAATCAAGTACATAATACATTCTACACCAGAACAAACTTTCTCAAGATACCATATGCAATTCTTGACATGTTAAGGTTTAACCTAGAATTGAAAAATTGAAGTGTAAAGCCTCACTCCAACCATCCAAGGGAAGAACATTGACACTTCCCCATGCAGTTATGTAGTGAGAAGCAAACTGAATTTGAAGAGAAAGACAGCACACTTTGGTGGTAGTACTAGACTATGTGTAGAAGGAAAAATCAATGCCCATGCTATAGAAATGCATAGCAGGTATTGTTTTTTATGCTTGACGTAGTGGTTAAGAAGAAATTTGTCATATCATCAATTCTTTTAACAACTAAATAGTGCACCAAAATCCAAAAAATCTTTCCAGCATTTCTGTATTGTTTCTATTGAAGCTCATCTTTCCTCATACAATGCCTA